GGAGCCAGGATCACGCCGAGGAGGGAGCGCGGCCGTCCACGCGGCGGAATTCCGGCCGACCGGCGCACCACGGATCGCCGCAGCCCAGGAGCAGTCTGCCGCCGACCCGCTGCCACAAAGGGGTGAGCGCATCGCACGTCCCACTGGGGAGAGTCCTATCCCAGGTTGGCGAGGCCGCTGCTTTCGGTGCCACGAAATCGGGCACTATAGGCGCGACTGCACAAGGGAGATACCGGGAAACGGAGGAGGCCGCCGATAAAGTTATCGGCGGCGAAACAGACCAACGAGCGGGTCCCCGACACCCCATCGACTGTGTGCGTGCCGACGGCGTATCGAGTCGGAACAGTGACAAGCACCGCGGCCCCATTTATTTCCCTGACGGTGGCGGGAAAGGAGTTCGCAGCTCTTCTGGATAGCGGGGCTAGTGCGTCGCTAATTGGGGACGAGGTCCTCAGGCATCTCCAACAGAAGTCCGTTCGGGTGAGGCATGGGGAGACCACTTTCCAGTTGGCTTGTGGGTCGACGACCTCGAGGGGAGCAGTGCGTCTCGTGGTACGTTGGAATCAACGGGCGCAGAGACAGCGGTTCGTCCATTTGGCCGGGCTGACAGTGCCCATCATTCTGGGACGGGATTTCCTGGCCCACACCGGCATCATCATTGACGTGGCAAGTGGCGGGTACCGAGAGGGGGCACATGCACCCCTTTCAAGTTTCCGAGAGCACTCCATGGGGGCCATGGCGGCAGCGCTGGGAAAAGCGACAGAACAGGAAAGAACCGACCGCGACGACGCCATGAGTCACCCAACTCCGAGCTCCGCCGAGCACTGCGACGGAATGGGCCACCCGTTGGCCAATGCCGATGGACTGTCTCGACCAGAGCGAGAGAGGTTGGCGGCTTTGCTGCACAACTTTGACGAAATGTTCACCGAACAGCCGGGCTGCACTAAGCAGGTGCAACATCGCATTGAAACTGGGGACGCACGCCCTTGGAAGTCCAATCCGCGTCCTGTGAGCCTGGCGAAGCGAAAAGCGATAGATGCCGCAGTCGATGAGCTCCTGAAGTCGGGAATCATTCGCCGGTCATCAGGCCCCTGGGGATTCCCGGTGGTTTTGGTGCCCAAGAAGAACGGAACATCGAGACTCTGCGTCGATTATCGGCGCTTGAACGCGGTGACCGTAAAAGATGCGTATCCATTTTCGAGCATCGAAGAAATCATCTCGAATCTGGGGAAGGCGAAGTATTTCACTACCCTCGACGCAAGCAAAGGCTACCTCCAAGTGGAGATGAGCCCGGGCGACGAAAGCAAAACTGCATTCGTGTGTCACCGAGGCTTGTTCGAGTTCACTCGGATGCCGTTCGGATTAACAGGTGCACCGATGACATTTCAGCGGTTGATCGACGGGGTGCTCGGAGATGCCAAGTGGCAGCACGCGCTCGCGTACCTGGACGACATCATTGTGTACTCGGAAACTTTCGAGGACCACCTTCGTCACCTCGAGGACGTGTTGCGCAAACTGCGGATGGCCGGCCTCACACTTAACCCGACTAAAGCCCAAATTGGAGCTTCTGAGATCAGCTTGTTGGGATTCCGGATCGAGAGAGGAAAAGTTTCCCCCGACGCGGACAAGTTGCGGGCGATCTTGGAGTTCCCAGTCCCTACCGATGTCGGGGGAGTGCGCCGTTTTCTCGGCATGATAGGATACTACCGAGCCTACATCCCGAACTGCGCAGCCATGCAGGCACCCCTCACGCAATTGCTGAGGAAAGCGGCTCCCTGGAGCTGGGAGGCGCCGCAGGAGGAGGCGTTCCTCCAGCTGACCGAGGCCTTGGCGCGTACAGCATCCCTCAAACTGCCAGACCTGAATAGGCCCTTCACGATCCAGACGGACGCCAGCGACCAGGGACTCGGCGCGGTGCTCTTGCAGGAGACCGAGGGAGAGATCCGCCCGGTGGCATTTGCCAGCCGGGCGCTGAACCCGGCAGAGAAGAACTACACGGTGAGTGAGCGCGAATGCCTCGCCATCATTTTTGCTCTTAAGAAGTTCGATCATTATGTCGAGGGGACGGAATTCACGATCGAGACGGACCATATGGCCCTCGCGTGGCTCTTCCGAATCAAGGAACCCGCCGGAAGACTGGCGCGCTGGGCCTTGACACTGCAGAAGTACGAGTACCGAATTCGGTACCGGAAGGGCACGACAAATGTGGTGGCCGACGCCCTCTCCCGCGCACCCGTGGTTCCCCCACCGCGCGAGGCAGCAGACTACGGAGGCGGGGCCATCCCCCAGGAGACGGGAAATCCCGCCTCGCGCTCCGCTCCCCACTGTGGCGGCGTCGCGCAGCTGGCTGAGGCGATTACCTCACTGGGACCGGCGTTCAACCGAACGGAACTGTACGAAGCGCAGCAGAGCGATTCGTTTTGTCGCGCTATCTTCGACCGGCTCAGGCAAGAGATGGATCCTGACCAGACGGGCGAAAAGACGCTCCGGCACTCCGGAACACCGAGAGGGCCAAGTGCCATCGCCCAGGAGTCAGACATCGAAGCAGGTGAGCTGGAATCTTACCTGATCGATGGGGACGGCGTCCTGCTGCGCTACTTCCCGGAAGAGAGCGATTCAAGTGAGTCGTTCAAGACCGTGATTCCCCGCGATCACAGAGTGGCAGCGCTGCGTCACTACCACGATGCGGACGGTCACGGCAGTGCACCGAAGTCGTGGCATAAGCTGCGCCGTTTCGCTACCTGGCCGGGCATGAAGGGGCAGCTGTGCCGTTATGTCCGTAGCTGCGCAGTGTGCCAAGAGCGCAAGCCCAGGGGCGGCAGACCACCTGGCCTGCTCGAGCCCATCGTGAGTACGCGGCCATGGGAGATCGCGGCCTGCGACTTGATGGGACCCCTGCCGCGGTCAAGCGGAGGCTATCAACATGTGTTGGTAGTCACTTGCCACTTCACCGGATTCGTCGAGATGTTTCCAATGCGGAAGGTGACAGCCAAGGGAGTCCTGAGCAGGCTGTCCGAAGTCTGGTGTCGCTACGGGTTCCCCGAGAGACTGGTGAGTGACAACGCCTCGATATTTTGCTCGAAAGTCTTCGCGGCAACCTGCCAGGCCCTCGGGATTAAGCATTGTAAGACTTCGTGTTACCATCCACAAGCAAATGTGACCGAGCGGCGGAACCGCGACATCAAGCCGCTGCTCGGGGCGTATGCTCGTAAGCAGCGGGACTGGGATCTGCACTTGGATTCGATTTCGTTTGCATTGCGGTCCAACCTCAACCGCAGCACTGGGTTCACGCCGGCGCTTTTGAACTTCGGCAGAGAACTCTCTACGCCGACCGATGCGGTTCTTCGCCCGCGACAGAGCGCGGCCAGAGCGGTGCCCTCGCACGAGGATTTCGCGACGCGCACAAGAGAGCGACTGTCGCGGGCGCTGGACGCCGCCCGCGGAAACAGGGCTCGCGCGCGGGCGGAGCAGAAGAGCACCTATGACAAAGCGCACCGCGATGCGCAGTTCGAGGTGGGCGACACCGTTCTGCGGCGAAGTCACGTGCAGAGCGATGCGAGTAAGTTCTTCTCGGCGGCGTTGGCCCCCAAGTGGGTTGGCCCCTTTGTCATCGATTCCAAGAAGTCTCGACTGACATACACGCTGAGGGACCAGAATTCTGATCTCGTCCGCGGGACAGTTCACATCGGCGAACTGAAACCCTTTTTCCCCAGGGAAGGGGATGAGCCGGTCAAGCGGCCGCAAAGGGGCATTCGCGGGCGCCAACGATCTCAGGAGTTCCTGGGACCACCGCGGCACAGCTACAACACGCGTAGCCGGAGGCAACCCGATGGGATCGGAACTTCGTAGAGTGCGTGGCCCGGGAAAGGGAAGAAGAGGGGGGACGATCCGAAATCGGCGTTCCGTAACCCGGGAAAGGGAAGAAGAGGGGGAGCGATCCGAAATCGGCGTTCCCGGCATTTTTTTTGTATTGTTTTTCTTTGTGGGTGGGGGGAGGGTGCCTCGGAACCCTCAGTGTTTGTTTTTCTTGTTTTTGCTTTGAATGTTTTTTTTCTTTTTTTTGTGTGAGGCGTTGCTGTTGGTGTTGGGGTACTGCTCCCTCGCTGGGCGCTCGCCTTGGACTTTTCCCATCTTGTGCGTCATCGCCCCTGCGGCTACTGCTTCGAGACGCAACTTGGTGTGCACCGAATGGTCCTCTCTGGGAGAGGATGAAAGGAGGAGTCGCCGTTTGGACAAACACCAGCCTGGGCTGAACTCCTCGTCTTCGGGCGGCGTACTCCCCGGCCGGAACCACAGCTCGGGGAGCCTCGTTGGACGTCCGCGACGCCACACAGGAGGCCGAGGTGCAGTTCTCAGTGACATTGGACTTCCAGCCCCACAGCGCTCCGGGAGGGCTGTCGCAGCTGGGTCACAACCACAGTCCCTCTCCAGTGCACCACTTCCTGGGGGGGGGGGGGGGGGGCAGTCTCATGGTGGCCAGGCACACTGCTCAAGGACCCCGTTGCCCCGGAGGTTGCCGCCAAGCCGAAGTCGGCAAAGTCTACTGTGAGGTGTGCGGTGGCCGCGCACCCCAGGTCTCGGGCGAACTGATGGACCTCAGTGAGGACGACCCATGGGACCAGCGGTGTGTGTGTGCGTGTGGGGGGTCTCCAGGCCAAACCAAGCGACGGTGTTTTCAGCAGCCTAGCCGTACGTCTGAATTCCGGCGTACTTCGATTTTTAGGAGAGGGGAGTATGGCGCACCGTGAATTCACGAGGGCGCCCATCAAACCATTCGGCCAATCTTGGCCGCGACACGATCACATGGTCGTGTTGCCGCGGGGTCGATCGGGATCTCGAATTCGGCTCCCGACGCGCCGCTTTCTCTCCTAGCCACTGGTGGCTAGGAGAGAAAGCGGTGTTTTTTAGATGAAACGGACTTCGAGAGCCTGGCAGACGCCGAGGAGGCCCGGAGCTTCACGTGCCGGATGTGCGCAATTCTGGACGAGGCCGTTCAGAGGATGGAGGGGGAACGGGCAGCTGGCGTTGAGGAGCTCAGGCGGGAGCTGCAGTTGGAGCGTCAGAAGCGTGCGGAGCTGGAGACCCAGGTCGGCGAGCTGCTGAGGAGGGAGGCGGGCAGCGCAGGCCTGGTGGAGCGGTTGGCCGGCGAGCTTCGGGAGGAGCGGGAAAAGCGGGCCAGGCTGGAAGAGCGGGTGGAGCTCTTGGCGCGGGCGGAGGGTGAACCCGTGTCGGGCCAGCGTCATGTGGAGGGCGAGGCTGGCGTGGGTGCTCGGGAAGAGGCGGCGGGAGCTAGCGATAGCACGGAGGCACCACGAACCTACAGCGCTGTAGCACAGCAGGTTCCGGATGAGGCAGAGGCGGCGACGGACCGGGTGACAAGCGGCAGTCCCGTACGGCGGGCAGGAGCACCGCAGCGGCAGGCGGGCCAGGTGCCGCAATCCGGAGGGCAGCAGTCGCGGGCTGGGGACGAACGGTTCGAGCGCAGGAGGGTGCTGGTTGTGGGAGATTCCAACATAGCGAGGGTCGAGGAGGGCGTGTTGGCAAAGGTGAGGGCAGACAGGCGGGTGAAGGTGGAGGCCCAGTCAGGTAAGTGCATAGTAGATGCAATGGCCAAAGCCCGGGAGGTAGTATGGGACAACATGGAAAACGAGAACCTAGTCGTTATCCATGCTGGTCTCAACGATGTGCTGAAGGGAAGAAGCCAGAACCTTGAGAGACAGCTGGAGGTGGGGTTGCGTAAGCTTAGGGAGGCCTCTGAGAAAGTGCATGTGACCATATGCACAATCCCAGAGGTCCAGGGACAGTCTAGCGGGATGGAAAGGAGAGTAGTTGAAGCTAACCGGGTCATTAGGGGTATGAGCCGACGACTTGGGTACGGCGTAATGGAGGTGAACAGGGACGTGTACGAGGCTGGCTCCCACCCTTTTGCACAGGATGGCATCCACTACAGTGGTGCCACGGGCAGGAGGGTAGGCAGTAGGATAGGTTGCCAGGCAACAGCTTTTTTAGGGGGACCCAGGGCCCTGAGGGCTCCGGAGTAGGCGAAGGTGAACCGGAAGAGGAACCAATGGCAAAGAAGCGTAGAGGCCGTAGAAGTAATAGACATAAATGCCAGCGGAAAGTTTTTTCAGACATAGGGTATATTAACATGCAAGGTGGCAGGAATAGGCTGAAATGGGAGGAAATAGAAGAGCAGCTGAGACAGGAGAATTTAATGGTATATGGGTTTGTGGAGACGCATCTTAGGGACACAGAGCAACCACCCTGTAACCCAGACTATGCGTGGGAATATTGCAATAGAACAGCAGGCTACAGAAAAGGAGGTGGAATTGGGGCATTCATTCATAAAAGTACGGATTGGCAAAGGGTCAAACAGGATTGTGTGGAACATTTATGGTTAAAAGGAAAAGTGGCGGGGGAGCAAACACTACTTGGCTTTGTGTATTTGTGGACAGGAGCAGATGCCAAAGAGGAAAACAAAAGAATTATAGAATGTATAGCAAGTGACATTAATGAACTAGGGAGGGGATGTGAGATTATTATGCTAGGAGACATGAATGCACACATTGAAGATATGGACGGGTACACGGATTCGACAGGTAACATGCTGCTAGATATGTGTGAAAGACATGACTTGGTTTTATGCAACAGTACCGAGAAGTGTGAAGGGCTCATAACTTGGGAGGTAGGGAGTTTGCATTCGACGATAGATTATTCACTAATGTCGCATAGGATGTATGATAGGCTAAAGGTAATGAACATAGATGAACTTGGGCTCAGAAGCCTGGGTAGTGATCACAAACGGATCAAGCTGAGCTTTACGAGAGAAACCGGGAAAGGAAAGATGCAAGATGAACAACCAGATAGGATCTTTTACTCGGAGAAGCAACTGGAGATAGCAACCAAACAAATTGAGGAATTAATTTCTGGCGATACCACAGCAGAATGGACTTACACAAATTTAATGAGATTATTTGAGCTAGAGCTATCCAAGGTCCGACCTAGAGAAAAAGGAAAAGGAAGGCATAAACCCAAGAGCTGGTGGGATGGGGAGGTTAAGAACGCCATAAAGAGACGCCAGGAAGCATCCAGGGAACACAGACATTCCAAGCAAAGGGGGGAACCAAAAGCCGAAGTAGACAGAAAATGGGATAATTTCATAATTTATAGAAGGGAAGCATCCTGTTTAATCAGTGAGAAAATGAGAACAAGGGGGTCCCAATGGTTGTCAAAAGTGCACAAAAAGGATAAAAACGCAGCCAAGAAATTTTGGAAACATCTGAACTCCATGAGTAATAAGACAAGTTTAGAACAGAGGTTTATAGTTACAGCTCAAGGTACTCGACTGGAAGGGGATAAGGCAATGCAGCATATAGGGACAATGATGGCGGAAAAATTTAAAGACCGAAGGAATGAGGCACATGCTTTATCGCAGGAGAACAGACCGGTAAGTGCTATGGATTCGTTCGGACAAAGAGAATGGGAAAGGGCAGAGAAAAGAGTTCCTAGTAGCACCTCGACAGGCCCTGACGGTATTCCCATTATGCTAATCAAGAACTTGGGCCCAAAATCTAAGCAAGCATTAAGAGAGGCAGTGAATAAAATGGTAACGGATGGGAAAGCCCCCGATGAATGGAGACTAAGCAGGATGAGCATGATATATAAACGAAAGGGGGACAAAGCGGACATAAACAACTATCGTCCTATAACGGTGACGTCAGTGATTTACAGGGTGGTGATGCAGATTATAAAGGATAGACTGCAGGCATGGGTGGAGAGCGAGGGGGTGCTGGGGGAGCTGCAGAATGGGTTCCGGAAGCAAAGGAGGTTAGAGGACAATCTGTTCTCTTTAACGCAGTGTATCGAAATAGCAGAAAAGGAACAAAGGCCCCTATGGCTAGCGTTTCTGGATATCAAAGGAGCCTACGACAGTGTAATTCAAGAGAATTTGTGGGGCATACTGGGTACATTAGGGGTAGAAGCTGGAGTAACTAATCTTTTAAAAGATATATATAATAGCAACAAGGTGCGTATAAAATGGGAAACAAATGTATCGGAGCCTATAGAGATAGAGCGGGGGCTTAGGCAAGGCTGCCCTTTGTCGCCTTTGTTGTTCATGTTATACTTACAGGGATTGGAGAACAAACTAGAGCGGAGCGGGTTTGGCTTCAACCTTTCTTTCATCAAGGAAGGTGAATGGATTAAACAATCACTACCGGGGCTGATGTATGCAGATGATATAGTGCTAATGGCCGACAACAAAGAAGATTTGCAGAAATTAATGGATATCTGTGGTACAGAGGGAGATAAACTAGGTCTTAAATTTAGTCAAGAAAAATCGGCAGTGATGATTTTTAATGATAAAGATGGTGGCGAGCATAGGATACAAGAGGTCATGTTGGAGGCAGTGGATAAGTACAGGTATCTTGGGGTATGGATAAATAATGGTGTTGAGTATCTAACGGAGCATGAAAAACATGTAGCGATGAAAGGTAGCAGGAATGCAGCCGTCATGAAACATAGGGCTCTGTGGAATTACAGTAGGTATGAAGTGGTGAGGGGGATTTGGAAAGGGGTCATGTTCCCGGCCTGACCTTCGGCAATGCGGTCCTGTGCATGAGACCAGATATTCAAGCAAAGTTAGAAATTAAACAGCGGGGCGTAGGTAGGCTTGCTTTGGGAGCTCATGGAAATACGCCGAATCAGGGGGTACAAGGCGACATGGGATGGACGTCATTCGAGGGCAGGGAAGCTAGCAGCAAGATAGAATTTGAGGAGCGTTTGAGGGAAATGGAGGAAGAGCAGTGGGCTAGGAAAGTTTTCAGTTATTTGTACATGAGGAATGTAGATACCAAATGGAGAAAGCGAACTAGAAAATTATCAAGCAAATATTTGGGCGGCAGTGGGGGCGCCAACCAGGAATTACGGGTTAAGAAAAGGATAAAAGAAACAGAGAAGGGTCTGTGGGAAACGGGTATGCAGACAAAACCAGCACTGGAGACGTACAGAATGTTCAAACAGGAAATTTGCAAAGAAAATATCTACGATAATTCTAGGGGAAGCTCTTTGTTGTTTGAGGCCAGGACAGGAGTATTGCGGACTAAGACGTACCGGGTTAAGTACCAGGAGATGGACACTTTATGTAGTGTGTGTGGGGAGCAGGAGGAAACGGCTGAACACTTAATACTTTTCTGTAAAGGGCTTCACCCAACAGTTAACAGTGACCGGGCGGATTTAATCAAAGCATTGGGTTTTAAAGACAGTGAAGGAAAAATAGACTTTACACGGGTAGAAATAACCAAGCGGAGGTTATCAGACTGGTGGCTAAAATCGAGGCAGGGGTGAGATTTAATCTTGGAATTCAAAACATATTAGATTTATAATGTTGGCTAGGTGGCGCAAGCCACCGCCCGATTCACAGGGTTTAGCCAGATCCATCCATCCAATCCATCCGGCAGGCGAGGAGAAACCTCCTCGCCCATCGATAGATATATACTCGGTGGGGCAGGGGGCAAGAGGCCTCTAAGAACTTCGGACGAGACCGAGACGCAGGCACTGGCAGGCAAGTGGGTGGCGACCGGATCTGGATATCGCGGGACGCGAGGCCTAAGGGCCTACTTTGTGTTTAGCGTTGGTCTTAACGTGCGTTTGTAAATATTTGTATAATGTCGCGTGTATTTGTAGTTTAGATTAAGTGTTTTGTAGCGTTGTGTTTTGTTGTACGAATAAACTGGGAGCGGAATCCCGCTCCCGTGAAAGAACCAGGCTGGACTCGGGTTGTTGACGGACCACGTGGGAAACGGCGAATCGGCGTCGGTACGCAAATTCCTACAGTGTGTTTCCATACACGCATGCGACGTGGTGTCGAGCGTCGCAGGAGACACAGCACGGGTAAAATTCGAAGAGCTAAAAAAGGCAGCGCGCTTATTTTATACACTCATGACATGGCGCCTCCTCCTTCCCATTGACTGCGCCGTCACGCGCCCGATGACGCACGCAGTAGGCTACACCTTTAGTCATCCAGAACCGTGGAGTCGCCATGGCTTCGGGGAAGCGTGGTCGCCTAGGACCCGGAGGCCCAGGTTCTATTTCCATCCTGACCGAAGTGTACAAAATTTTATTTTCAAAGCCATTAATTTACTTTGTTTATAGGAACCTCCCTGAGCATTCTGACGTGAATGCCTGCTTTTTTAACGTGTTTTTAATCTTTGCTTCATCGTCCATTTCTGTTACCATCGCTCGGTCTCGCCGCTAATGGCGCCGGATTTTCGCCTAATGGGGAATTTAAGGCAAGAAAGAAGAAACGGTCGCGAAATGCTTCTGGGTCTGGTTGCTCAATGTGAAGAGATGGGGGTACCATTTCACAAATTACTGGATGCGCAGCTGAAAGGCTTCTCTAAAAGGCACCTAAAAGCCGACCCAGCAAACAAGAGGTAGCTTCTGTAATGACCTAGGAAAAACAACATCGTTTTGAAATCTTCAAAGGGAGGGTAAAACGTGTGGCACAGATAGATGACGTTTACTAAGGCAATCGCAAAGATGCGGTTTAACGAAGCAGTCATGTGTTCTTTACACAAGCCCAGATAGCGCTTCAGGTGCAATTGAACCGGCAGAAAGAAATGACACACCAAGTATATTTTCGCTTGCATGAACCATGAGTCAGCAATAAGCAGTCTCGTGTAAAGAACACGCCCACTGGTGACGCCTGGAAGAGGAGTACAGAAAACGCCCAGTGGACTGTACGACCTCCATGGAGGATAAAACGTAAGGTCTCGATTTCTGTAGATCACAATGTAGCTGAGCTCGCCGAATAGTTTTAGGGCAAAATGAAGGATGAATCTTTTTTTTTTTTTTGAAATACTAATAAACAAACCGCAACTCTTGGTACAGTTCATACGATGATCGCGGAATACGAGAAACAGCTAAGAAATATTCGTAGGATGTTCATCTTGAATGTTGGAATAGACGACCAATTACTAGGACACTGAAAGGCTGCTATGTCGAGAACGTGGAGAAGAGATGGAACAAAAGAAGATGCTGCCAGGCGGTTTACTTTATATTTGAAGTGTTAGCTAGGGACAAAAAAAATGCGGGCCAAGGCTACGATGTTAAACGTCAAGCTGAAAAAACTGTACGAAAAAACACGACCCAAGAATGTGGAGTTAACTCAGGACCTAGCAGTCACACACATCATGAATAGAGACAGGCTGCATTACAACCAAGATGGTATCTGGGTAGTGGCAGGCAGCATGGCTGAGGCTACGAATCGTCTTACAGCGAAGCTGTATATGGCTAGGGTTCCATGGATCTTTGATATCCGTGTGCAAAAAAAAAAGAAAAAAAAGTCAGAAATTTGATACAAAAGCGCTGCATTGTGTGGAAATGCACATACGCCTCCTCACATCGATATGC